ACTGCACTGGTGATCACGCTTGCTAAAACTATTTCTGTATTACACAAAAAGTGTACAGAAATACAACACCAGCTGCTAAATGTCACTCTAACTACAGCCACAAAATGCAGATTCCGACCTGGCAGAGGGAACCCTGCTCAGAAACCTTCTGCACACCTGCACGTACAAACAGAAATTCAAAATCATGGTTAATACGCCATTGACAAAAAGGTAAAACCATCACGGTAACCCAGAAAAACAAAAAAGTGAAACTAACACTATTCAATCCAGTACTGACTCGTCTGCATACATCAAGCAAGAGCTCACCAGAAGAAAGATTCTGAAGATCTGTTGGGAGAACAACCGACCACATGCATGATCGTCTGCAGAAACGAAACACACCCAACAATAACGATAGTTAGGCACGAATCTGAATATCATGCAACGTGGTTTCTGCTGGACATCGCATTCGGCAACTTGATTAGTAATCAACATTAAATATTATCGTTAGTATGATTGAAATCACGACTGAATGCATGCAAAAGTAAAAATACTAAATAAAAATTGGCAAACGTAAAAAATCCGTCACGCACCTAGACTCGTGGATCGATCGTCAGTGCGTCAATACACCACCACCGCCGAGTCGAATAGGCACAAATGAAGCAGGGGTAGCTAGAAAAGCGGGGATATCGCTAGGAAGCTAAGGGGTCTGGAAGAATGTGATTGATCGAATAGGAAAAGGTGAGAAATGGCAATGGAGGACGACTACCCCCTCTCGAACGGGAGGAACGGGGGGGATGAGCCTCTGTGAAGAGGTTCCATTGCAGAAGTGTTTCACACCCTTCCCGACCGTTCACAACTGTTTGGTTTTATATTTCAGTTCCTGTGAAACATACTGCACCGATCGAAACTGGGTGCTCAAACCAACGGACGTGGTTGACGGAGGGAAACCAGATATCGGTTTCCACCAGTCTAGGTCCACCAAGGGTGCAAGGGCATTTTGATTGGTTAAAAACTTGCTACGCGGCGAATATTTGCCACGCGTCACACCATCCAGCTCACCTGGTTGCAAAGCACGTGCCTATGGCACGGACGCGCCATCGTTGGGTGAGTTGGACGTTGCATTATTTGGAAGCCGATGGGCGTGCGATTTTGACGGACGACAACTTTCGTTGACACCACACGTCAGAGACACTGTCGTTTCTGACTGTCACGGAACCCAGTTGCGTCTGCACGCATCTGATTGGTTGACCAAACTCGTACATGTTTTTCGGCCGACGATTTTCCCGTCGCCTGGAACGTGTGGAGGCTGTGACCAGAATCGAGTTTTGCCACGCTGGACCAACATGATCTAGCTGAAACAGTGTTTTCCATTTGCCTCGAACACAAGTTATCGTCCGCAGTTGTGGCCGCTTGTTTGGTGCCAGGGTGGAAGCTACAGTATACAACCTGCGGTTCGGTGCCTGCACGTTGACTGGGCAATGCCTTTCGATTGGCAGTCAGGGGTATGGGTGGCCTGACTGATAAGAGCAAACGGCTAGGATTTACCCTACCGTTCAAGATTTCCAACACACCAAAAACACTCGCTCCAACTTGTATCTGCAGGAAATATATTCGCTATTAATATCATCGATGGGAACATCATCTGCTATATGATACTGTCGGTTATAATGTAAATTCAAACATTCAGTACACAGTGTTGCCTCAATGTTATTCATATACCGTAATAGAAAATTTTCACGAACATGCAAACGGATTTTCTAACTTGATACATAACATTCAGTACATTTCACGCAACAAACCGTAGATTATAATGCTTTCGAATCGAGTCTCAAAACAATGTAAATGATATACATGATTTTTTAGTAGATACTACACGTTCTGATAATAACAGCAACCTTTTCAAGTACAGAAACCACCCATACATACAGCACAATGCGTGGACAACCTATCATCGCAGATGCAATCTTTCGACCAATCAGGTCACGCAATCGTGGAGCTACATAAGTGGTCGGCGTTACTGCTGGTACTTCCAAACCTCAACCAGGCGTACAACTCACCACCCGTGCCTCGTAAACAGGTACGAGTTCTGCCAAACCCCGAAGTCGTGCCAGGCAATACGCAAACAACACGCCTCAAAACCAACGAAGTCGCAAACCATTGGCCAACGCCAATGGTTTGCAAGTGAAAACGAGTGGTTTTGCCCAACCACTCGCTGGCGAGTGGTTTTCGTAACGAAAACCACTCAAGACAGTTTTGCGATGATTAGATCTAGAAAGTAGCTTTAGCAAGAGTTCAGATCTGAAAAGTGACGAGTTGGTGAAACCCTACCAACCCAACCCTCGCCCTACAACAATCCCCAACACCTTAAAGTGCCAAACTAGCAACACCAAAGGTGTTGTAGTTGGTAACAAAGGTTTGTTGGTGCTTGTTAGGTGCGAGTTCAAATCCAGCCCGCAACAAGTTCAACCACCACATTTTGCCCAAACCCTTAGCCCACAACCAGCTAGAGAAAAATACCACAACCACCTACACAATCAACACATTTCACTGTACGATCACGCCCTAGGCCATGCTACTGCCCCTCCTTCCACTGCTGACAGCACTCAGCGCTCACAGTGGCAGACTCGTGACGCCCACGCTCGCTTTGCCATTCGCAACTCCCTGCCGCTAGATGAGCGCGAGCACTTTGGCCAGCACAAAACTGCTAAGGACCTGTACACTGCTGTCGTCGCTCGTTACTCCTCACCTGCTTCTGCCGCACTAGGCCGCCTCTCACTCCCCTACCTGTTCCCCGACCTGGCCTCCTTTCACACAGTTGCTGACCTCATCACCCACCTCAAGACTAGTGAGGCCCGCTTCCGCGCTGCTATGCCTGACGAGTTCCTTGCTAGCAACCCCCCCCGCTCTGGCTCACTCTCTACCACATCGTCACCCGCCTCCCTGACTCTCTGCGCGCAGTCAGGGATCACTTTCTAGCTCGCTGCCCCACTGAGCTCACCATTGCCCTCCTCGAGAAGGAACTACTTGCAGCTGAGGCGAGCATCGTCGCTGTAGGTGCCTCTCGTGGCGAGCCCCGCACCCCCTTCTTTGAGGGGTGTTCCCCTTCCCCCCAACTCCCCTCTGTCGCCTCTGCTGCTGCTGTCGACCTCCTTGGTGCTGAGAAGGTCGGGACCGCGTCTGCTTCGAGCGGGCGCCGCAGGAACAAAGGGGGCAAGGGTGGAGGTGGCGGCGGGGGAGGCGGGGGTGGAGGCGGTGGGAGTGGAGGAGGGGCTGGAGAGGCTAGTGGCGGCAGTGGGGGTGGTGACGGCAGCGGCGGGGGCGGTGGCAGGGGCGGGGGCGGCAGCGGGGGCGGAGGTGGTCGTGGCAGCGGCAGAGGAGGAGGTGGTCGAGGAGGTGGCGGCGGCGGTGGTGGTCGTGGAGGAGCTGGCGGTGGTGGTCGTGGAGGAGCTGGCGGTGGTCTGAGCCAGCAGCACACTCCGTCGCTCCAGGAGGCCCGTGAGTGGTATTCCCAGCGCCCGGGGGCGCGTGGCTTTAGCTGCACGTACGTCATCCGCACTGGTGACCGCACTGGTCAGACGTGTGGGAGGCCGCACCCCACGCACCGCTGTTTCTCGCGCCTTGACGACGCTTGGCGCACTCAGTTCCCTGACGGCGGTGAGCTGCCCCACTGGCTTGATTTGGAGAGGAAGGGAGTTGATATCTGGGCTCTAGACTTTGATGCTATTCTCACTGCCATGTATGCGATGTTTACTAGTGGAGAGGGTGCCCAGTACTTGCGTGTTCCGCCCGACCCGGGCATTCTGACCAGTGAGGCTGCTGCTCTAGGTGCTAGTGAGGCTGCCACTGCAGGTACTCGCGTGTCTGCCACCTCAGGTGATGGTGAGGCTGTCGCTCTAGGTGCTAGTGAGTCTGTCTCCCCTGGTACTGAGTCGACTGAGGCACTGCACACCTTCACCCTGGACTCAGGTGCTTCTCGCTGTTTCTTTCGTGACCGCACTGCCCTTGAGCCACTCGCTCGGCCAGTTGCTGTCTCCCTCGCTGACCCCTCTGGGGGTCCGGTCATTGCGACCTCCTCCACTGTTCTTCCCTGTCCTGCGGTCCCGTCTGGCACACTGTCTGGTCTCCACCTCCCCTCGTTCTCTACGAACTTGGTGGCGGGCTGTGCGCTCTAGGACGCAGGTGTTCACCAGTTCACCCCTGCCTACGAGCGCGTGACACACTGCACGTGTGCTCGGACGGGCCGTCACCTGGCTACCTTCACTCGGCAGCCGGGGTCGGACCTGTACACACTGACCACTGAGTCCCCTTAGGTAGCTGCGTCCGCGTCTGCGTCAGGTCAGCTGTCGGCCCCCTGCTCGTGTCGCTCTCTGGCGCACGACACCGTCCTCTGGCACCACCGACTTGGCCACCCGTCTGTGCAGCGCCTTCGTGCCATGCACAAACGGCAGCTTGTCTCTGGTCTTCCCAGGGTGCTCCCTCCCCTCCCACCCTCGCCTGCTCCTCCCTGTCTTCCCTGTGTCGAGGGGCGGCAGCGCGCCGCTCCTCACTCCTCCTCCTTTCCCCCGACGACTGCTCCCTTGCAGACGCTCCACCTGGACGTGTGGGGCCCAGCCCGCGTCCGTGGACAGGGTCAGGAGAGGTACTTCCTGATTGTTGTTGACGACTACTCTCGCTACACCACGGTCTTCCCCTTGCGCACCAAGGGTGAGGTCCCTGATGTCTTGATCCCTTGGATCAGCAGAGCTCGTCTCCAGCTCAGCGAGCGTTTCCGCTCGGACTTTCCTGTCCTGCGTTTGCACTCTGACAGAGGTGGTGAGTTCACCTCCGACCTTCTGGCAGCCTACTGTGCCGAGCACGGCATTGAGCAGTCGTTCACGCTTCCGGCCTCTCCACAGCGGAATGGGGTTGCTGAGCGCCGCATTGGCTTGGTCATGGAGGTCGCTCGTACCTCCCTGATCCATGCGGCTGCTCCCCACTTTCTGTGGCCGTTTGCGGTCCGATACGCTGCGCATCAGCTC